AGTACGTGCTGTGTCTTCTCTCAGGGAGAGTGACTAGTCTCGAGTCATTGGTGTGTGTGACATCAAGACAAGTACGTAGGTGCTCAATAGAGAATGAGTTCACTGAACACGATCAACGAAGAGTTCTCATATTCATGTCACATGAGAACTCATGGTTGGGATAATGCAAAGTAGTCCTTTGACCTGAGGCATCACAGTTGTCTTGTGGTTAAGTCCTTGATCTTTGATTATGTCAAAGTCACCCCATCGGGGTGTCCACGGCATCGTTGGGGTTAAGCCACTTAGTCATGGAGGACAAGTGAATGCGCAACAAGGGATCTCTAACCTTCAAACCGTTTGAGGGAGAATACTCTATGATATGATTTAGAATCTCTGGCCAGAGTATGAATGAGATTTAGAAATGTCGTTCTAAATCACATTCAAGGTAATCATATAAGCACACGAATCACATTGGATAGTAGACATGAATAAATAAACTATCAAACCAAACAATGTGGTCAAGAGTATTAGATTAGAGAAAGACCGTATTGCATTTGTAATCCTAAACTGAATAGGTTCTCCACCTCTTCTGATTAGCTTGGGTAACCATGATATGCTGCTAGGTGTCACTCATGGTTTGTGGAAGCCCTAAACGTGTATAATCACTAAAGGGAGAATTGAAAGTAAGTTTCAATTCACAATCGATGTAAAATGGTTTTAATCGCCCACTGCCTTGCTAAAAGGAACCTAATGGATCGCACACCGTGTAAGGTGGAGATTGAAGAAACAATGGAGATGAGTAAGAATGATTAAATGGTTTAATTATTTATTTATGGCAAGGATTAATTAATATGTTAATTAATCAAACGAATAATTTCGTTAAAGACCTCGGGATAGTTTTGGACCTTAAGGCCCAATGGGCTTCGAACGTCAAGTCCATTGACTTAAGTTGTATGACAACTTAATTCACTAAGACCCAAAAGCCCAAACAACACCCCATGGCCAGCCATTTAGAGGAAGGGTAGTGAACTTGCTTTAATTACAAGTTTGCCACTCAAATGAACAAAGGTATAAATATGACTTTATAGCCTTTTGTTCATTAGGGTTTGTTTTGGAGAAAATTGGAGAGAACATGTCTCTCCATTTCTCTCTAAAGAGGCCGGCCCCTTGGAGGGTGTATCTAACCTACTAACTACTCCAAGGTCACTCATTTCTTCTCCAATCTAACCTTGGTGAAGATACTTAGAGGTTCTCAATTTTGGGAACTTGGAGAAACCTTTTCATCCATCCAAATCCATAGATTTTAGATGCAAGGAATGAAGGCCCTCTCTCTGGGTGATTAGCATTTGCTTATGCAAAGAGGAATCTACAAAGGTATGATTTTAACTCACTTTGTTTTGAGTTGAGTTTTGGTTCACCAATCTACTAGGCTTTGAATTTCATGGGTAATGTTTTGTTTTTGAGTGCATGCAAGCATGATTCCGCCTTTAATTGTTAATTGTATGCTATATGATGTTGCTCAAATGAACATGTTTTCACAAAATCATCCTTCACCTTAATCTTTGGAAGTTAATCCGGATTTGATTTATGATGAGGAACCAGTGACTATCTTGGATTGGAAGGACAAGGTTCTAAGGAATAAAACAGTGAAGTTAGTGAAAGTTTTATAGAGGAATCATTTAGCAGAAGAAACTACTTAGGAGACAAAAGATCAAATGAGAGAGATGTGTTTCAGGTTGTTTTATGGATATTGATGGATTGTAAAGATTGTGTAAGTTTCGAGGACGAAATTTTTTTTAAGGTGGGTAGATTGTGACAGCTCGTCCCTGATTTTAAGAGTTTTTAAAGTTATAATAAAGGATTTGACAAAAATGCCCTTTGAGGCATGCGCATTATTCCAGGTTAATAGTTGTGTCGTGCCATCTAAGATTTGTTTTCTTGACATATCCTCATAGTACTCGTCGCTACGGAAGCGTGGGAGCAGATGGTTCGTGATTTGGAGTTATAACGAAAAAGATTTTAAAGTTTGAAGTTTGGGCATTTTATGAATTTTATTATAAAAATTTGGTGTGCCATTTTGATGGCCCAGATTAAAGGAAATCTGAAATGGATGGCTTAGATGTAAGGGAAAGAAAATAAAAAAATAAAAAGGAAGGTTTTGTGTGTGTATGTGTGTGTGCATGACTGGTGAAGAAGAAGAAGAAAAGATTGGGCAAAACTACCCAACTAGAGGAAAAGAGCAGGAGCTCCGGGAGAGAAATGAGAGAAGCTGGGCGAATGGGGAGAAGAGAGAGAAGCTTCTGGCCAATCGGAACAGGGAAATGAGGAATGGAGAGAGGGTGAGAAGCGGAGGAAAAGAGGAGAAATGGGTTGGGAAGAACCCGTGACCCGTTTTGACCCGGCAGTGCCCACACCCAATTTCGACGGATTTCCGTCCAATTTTCTAGTGTTTTACAACCTTCCACCTCTACCAATCAACTCCTTAGCCTTTCCTCTACCTATTACATCCCAAAATTTGGAAAGTTTGGAGTTAGAAATTGAGAAAAACGCACCGGTGGCGCGATGGATGGGTGTTTGAAATTCTTCCATTTTTGAAGCAATTTCTTTCAATTGCCACCACCCATAGCTTCATCTTGAGGCCTAGAATAAAGCCCAAACAATGGTTGGGATGGCGGAGTTGATTTGAGGACAAATTGGAACTCACCCATTTCCAGGGTTCTTCACGGGTTTGATGGAATTGGAGCCTTTCCAGGCCAAATTGGCCTTGGCCACAGGTATAAAGTTTACTCTACTCATTGAGATCTTCATTTCTATAAATTTTGGTAATTTTTGGAGATAGTTGGATTTTCCGGCGAGCCGGGGCGGCCCGTGGCCAGTGGCCCGCCAATGTCATTCTTAGCATGTGTTTAATGTTCTAGGTTCAGTTTGGATAATTGATTGACGTAAATTGAGTAATTGAATCTAAGTTCGTTACGATTTGTGGTTAGGTGAAAATGTGAATTGACGATCAGACCGTTGGATCGTCACCAAACTTTGATACGTTGTAATACGTAATATTTGAGGATTATAGGAACTTACAGATTGGGAATCCGATTTACGGATCTTCCGGAATTGGAGTTATAAGTTCATAAAATAGAATGTTAACCGTCACTTGGTTTTGACAATGGACGAAGATTCGACCGTTGGATGGTAATTAAATTTTAAGATGTTGTTATAGAGATATATTGTGGACCTCTGGAAGTTATGGATTGGAAATCTGAGTTGCAGATCTTCCGGATTGAACTACGTAGTGACGTGTTTTATATAAATTATATATTCTATCAATATGATTTCTGAGGTTTGATTTGATGATTGTTCTAGGCGCCGATCGTCATGATGCCTTGATGTGTTGTGCTAGGGAGTTGTAGGGCAAACTCCAGGTGAGTGGGCAGTTTTGTTTTCCGTATATACCTATATAAATGAGATTTTTCCCAGGAAATCAATTTAAGTGAAATGTGATATAAAATGCGATATGAAATGCCATGCAACATATATGCCTAATTATTCATGCATTAGTAATTTCATAATGTATGATTGGTGCTGCGGACGCACAGGTAAGTGCTAGGTAAGTTCATAAATTAAATTATGTAATTGTTGAGTTGATATGATTGAAAACTCATAAACCTGCACTAGGGTGATTGTGATTTAGTATAGATGATTCAGGCCTGTATATATATAGTCACCCCCGCACCATATGCTCACAATTGGATCCAATTTAGGTGCCCAATCTTGTCGTACAGACCACTAGAGGTGGTTCCGATTCGTAGCTGACTAGCGATTTATTGCATAGCTATCAGGGGAGGATAGCGTGAGCATAACTATATTCACCCAGTTGTATAGATCTTTTCAGGGGTTCCGACTCGTGTGCAGTGTAGTGCCGTACAGGTCACTTGCGATGACTCCGGCTAGATAAGATTGATGAGATTGATTATAAGCTATAGATTTAGCCGTATAGGCCACTGTAGGTGGATCCGGTTGACATATTATTTTGCATGAGTTACTTATATGATTTGATGAGATATATATTTTGGCATAGCATATAATTCACATATCACTACTTCTGAGTATGATTTTGAGACAAGTATATGTTTTACATATTTTTGGGAAAGTATATGGGTTTTACAGCGAGGGGTTAGCGTTTTGATAATGAGATGATTTTCGAAAAACTTTGTTTTACTGGCCCACTCAATTTTGTTTTACGCCCCTCCAGGTTCAAGATAGCAGAGCTTTGGTGGCCACGAGGAATCCAACGGTGTTCTGATAGAATTCACAAAAGTAGGACACACCATCGGGTGTTACATCTTAGTAATTGTATCTTTAAAGCTTCCGAACTGTGTAAATGGTTACGTCACTCTCACGTGACGGCTAGCATGCCCTCCTTCGGGACGGGGTGTGTCAATATATATAAAGTTAGCACCATAAAATGGTGAAACATTCAAAATACCATAAATTGCTCTTTAAGAATTTCATAAATTACAATTGAACCAAAAGAAGCTAAAATATTTAACCATGTTTTTATTTTGAATGAATTTAATATTTAAAATTATAGAAAAATAAACAAAAACAAAATCTCCCACATTAGTGGGTGGTTTCATGTCTTTAATTCATTTCTTTTTTTAAAAAAAATAATTTTTTAAAAATATGTAAATTCATTATTTAAATAAAAAAATATAAAAAGGGCAATTGCCACACGCGTAGTAACTTTTAAAGTGGGCCCTTATTTGTAATTGTTAGATCAAATTTTAATAGTCCTGATTCTCTGATTTGTTGGATTACGAAGAAGAGATTAGGAAAGAGTCCTTTTCTTTTTAGTAGTGTGGTGAGATTAAAATCGATTTAATTGAAAAATACATAATATTAGAAAATTTTAATTAATTTTTAATATTTAAAAAAAATAAAAAATGAGTATAAAAAAAAAACTAAATACATGTAATTAGATAAGTGTACTTACTCCTAAAAACCATATATATTTTTGGAGATCTAAAAGCCCAGAAAAAATTCGAAACCGTACGGCGGAAAATGTTACTAATTTAGGGTCTTCGTCTCCATTTCCTCACTGTAAGTCGATTCCTCTGGTCGTCTTCCTCCTCCATTCCCTAACTGTAAGTCGATTCCTTTTCTCCTTTGCCAATAATTTGACATTTTCCATTTTCTTTTTTATTTTTCTTCTTCCTCTTCGTTTCTTCTTATTCTACTCTTCTTATTATTTAATTTCTATGACTGTTTTCAAATTTTCATTTTGGGATGTAGGAATTAGGGTTAGTAGAATTAATATGTTACTAATTTAGGGTTCATTGAATTGATTTAAACTGATTTAGGCATCTATTTATGGAGTTGCTTTTTCTGTGGATAGGAAATTGTGAATGGTAATTCTTGATTTAATTTGATTGGGCATTTGGTTTTGTATTCCAATTGACATCTATCACGTCTGAATTCTGTTGGTAGATTGGGCAATTTGAATGTATAATTCGTCAGTGAATTAGAGGAAACTATCACACTGAGCTTGCATTTTGTCCAATGTGAAATTTTGTAAGTATGTTGTTCTTGAGTTAATACTAGAAGTGTTAAGAGGTTATCAATTATTTTGGAAAGTCACGCAAACAAAATAGACTCTGCCGAAATTTCAAGGATGAATATAACCTTCATAACTTGTAGGCAGAAAAAGTGAAATTTGGAAAGGAAAATAAAAAAGAAAGCAATAACGAATTTGTTCATCTAACCATACTTTATGAGAAATTATATGCAGAGTCAAACTGGGTTCTTGGAAATATATTCCAGTATATGCCGTCGGTTTTAGGAACCGGAAAGTTGCTATCTGTATTTCAAACATAGTTTGTATGCTTTTATTGCTAGTTTCTATTATTTTGTTTGTTAACCGATATTCCACCTATATTGATATATCTTTCAAGGGATAGGATCAAGGGACAAAGATTTTGACAAATATTTTTACACTTTTTCTAACCTTTAGATTCTGTAGCACCCATTGGTCCTAATTAAAAGTGATATGGAGGATTTTAATCAATAAATGACAAGAATGATGACATGGAATATAAATAAACATAAATAAATAAAATCTGCAAAACCGTGGGAGGGTGGGATGAAGACCTCCATTGATTTCATGATTGCCCAGAACAACAAAATTTGGTGTGCCTTCATGACAATTTGACCAAAAGAAATAAAAGTGATAATTTTTGGACCGTGCTCTTGCAAATGAAGAGTTAAAAAACCATAAGCACTTTTATAATTAAATTCTACTCTTATGTTTTTTTAAGAAAAATCTATTGGTTTCATTGCATATATATATCTATATATATATATGTATATTAATCAAATATAATCCATGGCATAGAGGGTTTCAGAATATGGAGATTGAAAAAAGAAGAGGAAGAAGAAGCATTGTTGAGTTTTTTCTCTTTTCACGATTTGTTTTGTTTTCTTTTGGTAAAAATAAAATTACTTAAATTAGTTTATTTATTTATTTCCATGTCATTGCCATGTCAACGAGAACAATTTAAGTTTTACTTAGGGACCGCTAGATTAAACTAGATCTAAAGGTTGAGAAGAAGTTTAAAATCGTTGTCAAAATCTTTGTCCCTTGATCCTATCCCATCTTTCAATATTTCTCTAACCAAAATCGAAATTTAAACCCTTGATTATAGTCAGTTTTGTGGTTCAGATTGTGTACTTCCAAGTAACTATACTTTGTTTTTTCTCAGTTCATTTCTGTCTCTGTGACAGTTTTTAGAAATTTGGGAAGTGTGAAAGAAACTAATGAGACTACTGAAATTTTCGCACAATATTTTTTTAATTGGAAAGAAATTTTGTGTCTGAAGGTTCAATCAACCCACTCCATTTTGGAATCGTGGCTCCGTTGCTGATCATTTCCAAGTGCATAAGCACCCATGGAGACTTCCTGCAACAACACAAACGCCTTCTGCAACTACTGCGAGCATGCTCAAGGGTTCAGTCCCTTATAGCAACAAAACCACTCCATGCTCTCTCCATCACAATGGGTCCATCTCCAACCCAACCCATTTTTGTTTACAACAACATCTTGTCCCAGTATTTTTCACTTGGCGAATTGTCAGTTGCACGTCAATGGTTCGACAAAATGCCTGATAGAAATGCTGTATCATATAATATCATAATTAGTGCTTACAGTAGATGTGGGTGCGTAGGGGAAGCTTGGCGAATGTTTTCTGAGATGAGGTGTTATGGTTTTGAGCTAACTCAGTATGTGTTTGGTGGGTTGTTGACATGTGGGTCATTGGAAGTTTATCATGGGGTTCAGTTGCATTCTTTGGTAATAAAGAATGGTTTGTTTGATGTTGATGCTTTTGCAGGGACTTCTTTGTTAAGTTTTTACGAAAGGCATGGGTTGTTAAAGGAAGCGGTTTGGGCATTTGAGGATATGCCTTGTAAGAGCTTGGTCACATGGAATTCAATGATATCCGTGCTTGGGAATCATGGGTTTGCTGATTATTGTGTGGTGTTATTTCGAGAACTTGTGAGAAAGAATTATACTTTGTCTGAAGGTTCTTTTGTGGGTATTCTTTCATCATTTTCATGCCAACAAGACTTGGGATTTGGGGAACAACTGCATTCTTTAGCCATAAAGAATGGGTTTAAGTGTGAAGTTCTTGTGGTGAATTCTATTATGAGTATGTATGTGAAATGCACTGACATATGCTCGGCTGAGAAAGTTTTGGATGAGGTTACTGTTCAGGATGTTGTATCATGGAATACTATCATTGGTGCAGTAGCGAAAACTGAGAGATCTTGGAAAGCACTCGAACTCTTCTCTAAAATGTCGATGGATGGAGTATTGCCTAGTGAGATCACATTTGTTAGTCTTATAAACTGTTGTAACCATTTGGAGATGCCGTGCTATGGTGAGTCCTTTCATGGTAAGACAATCCAAAATGCTTTTGAATCTAATGTTTTTGTAGGTAGTGCACTGATTGACTTTTATACCAAGTGTGATAATTTGGAAAATGCCCATTGCTGTTTTAATGAGATATATGCGAAAAATGTGGTTTCCTGGAATGCTTTGATTTGGGGATACTCTAATATCTATTCGCCTGCTTCTATATTCTTAATGCAAGAAATGCTTCATTTGGGTTACCGACCAACTGAGTTCACGTTTTCAGCTGTTCTTAAGTCGTCGTTGGCATTAGAAGCACAACAATTTCATTGCTTAATTATAAGAATGGGCTTTCAGGAAAACAAGTATGTCTTGGACTCTCTTATAACCTCATATGCCAAGAATGGTCTCATATCTCATCTGCTGGTCTTTCTCACAGCTTCTGCTGATGGTCTGCTTTCTGCTGTTCCTTGTTATGTCATTCCTGGAATTTGTAATGGAACCAAGCAATATGATGATACTCCGAAATTACCTACGGTTCTTGAAAAACTTGACCTTGTATCCTGGAACTGTGTGATTGGAGCTTGTGCCCGCAGTGACTATTACAAAGAGGCATTTGAGCTTTACAAATGGATGCAGTGGTATCAAGTCCTACCAGACAATTATACGTTTGTTAGCGTTCTAAGCGTCTGTGCTAAACTGTGCAACTTTTCTCTGGGCAGTTCTCTTCACTGTTATATCATTAAGACTAATTTCAATTGTTGTGACACATTTGTATGCAACAAGTTAATTGACATGTATGGGAAATGTGGTAGCATCGGCAGCTCAGTGAAGATCTTTGAAGAAATGGAAGACAAAAATCTATTCACATGGACAGCCCTGATTTCTGCACTTGGACTTAACGGTCATGCTCTTGAGGCAATAAAACGATTTAGAGAAATGATTCTCTTCGGCTTGAAGCCAGATGTAGTGACTTTTAGCACTATGCTTACAGCTTGTAGGCATGGCGGGTTGGTGACAGATGGGATCAAGTTATTTGAGCAAATGAAAATGGATTATGGGGTTGAACCAGAAATGGATCATTACCATTGTGTGGTGGACTTACTGGCTAAAAGTGGACATGTTAGGGAAGCAGAGAAGGTGATTTCCGACATGCCCTTCCCACCAAATGTCGTTATATGGCGTAGTTTCTTTAAGGGCTGCAAGAGTTATGGAGCTGATACAAAACAAGCCCTGTAAAGCAAGTTCGTAAGTAAGTTTTTGTTTTACAAACTTCTTCAACGTTGCTTAGAGAAAGTAAATCCAAGTTCATGTCTGCTGTGATATCTTATTTGAGTCATAAACATTGTCACTTACTCACTTACCCCTCTCAATGTGCCCCCTCCAGTCTCTAGGATCTCCCTCCAGCAATCCATTCCCCTCACCTCACCTCCTTTCTCACCTATTGCAAAGTGGCCGTTCATAAGTGGCTACATAGTCATTGTCATTACTTACCTTCTGTACTATTTGAGATTTTTCTCAAGTGATTTTGCATGCAACTTTTAGGAGGTTAACAAATAATAGTGCTAGCAACTTATGTTTTATTCTGCACCTTCATCATTCAGATTCACATATAAAACCAAAAATCTAACATGGTATCAGAGCCTGGGCATCAATTTTGTGAAGTTTTGTGAATTGAGTCACAACAATATCTCATTGCAGTGAAACTTTAATTGTGTAAAGATCTGAGTCTAACATGGCTAGGTCTGGTGGAGGAGAGCTAAGAGCACCGATTTTCAACGACAACAATTTTGATTACTGGCAAATCAAAATGAAGACCATCTTCCGTCCCACGTGGAATCGAGTCGAGAAGGGCTTCAATACTCTGGTGAAGAGGGAGAAGGAGTGCTCGGCAATGGAGAGCAAGCTACTGCAAGAGAATCTTGTCAAGGATGCAAGAGCACTTGGTATTATCCAAGGAGCTGTTTCCGATCAGATTTTTCCACGGATTGCAACTCAGGAGACTGCAAAGGCAGCCTGGGATATCCTGAAGCAAGAGTTCGTCGGAGACAAACAAGTGAGGTCAGTGAAATTACAAGACCTTCGCCGGATTTTGAATATACCCATATGAATGAGGATGAATCCCTGTCTGTGTATATAGTTCGATTATTTGATCTGATTAATCAAATGGAGAGTTATGGTGAATATTTGAGTAATCAGATAATAATGTAGAAATTGTTAATTAGCCTACCTAAGTCCTATGATAGTATTGCATCAGTGATTGAAAGTACTAGGGATTTGGAAACCATTGATGTTCAAGATGTGGTTGCTATCCTGAAAGGATATGAGTAAAGGCTGAATAGACATGGAGAAAGCAGTACAGAAAGGACATTTGCTAGATTGAACATTTCATCTAAGAACAATAGTTTTAGTGGTCAATCTAACATTGCTAACAATGCTAAATATCAGAAGAATTTCGAAGCCAAAGGGAAGCAGTGGAATAACAAACCCATTGTTTTTGTGAAGAATGAATTAATTGGCACTGCAGAAAAGGGGGCATGTAAACATTGTGATAAACTGCACTATGGAGTGTTGCTTCAAGGGTAAACCTAAATGTCACAAGTGCAGTAAATTTGTTCATTTAGCTAAGAACCGCAAACTCCGCCGTGTAAGTTTATCTTACATTGCCGGTCCCAAGCCCGGATAAAGGAGGAGGGGGAGGGCGTCAGGTAGTCGACAGCCGGCACTCCATGATCACGTCGAATCCTTATGAAAATGAATCCAGAACGAAATCGCGCTAAAGCTAGGGCGTCACCCGTAAGTGGCGCGCTGTGTGGCCCGAGCACAGTGATAAGTGAGCAAGGGTCGCTGTATCTCCATCGGCACCCGGATGCAGTGTTAAATGAGCAAGGGGGCTATAGAAACTTCTTTTCGAACGACTCCACTCAAAGTTGTTTGGGAGCATATGCTCCTATCAACTTTACACGGGACACACAAAAGAAGTACTTTGATCCTATTAGACGGGGAAGGGTGAAGAAGCTAGGACAGAAGGGTAGAGTTCAAGAGAGCAAAATGCGTTTAGGAACGTGGAATATAGGAACCTTGACGGGAAAATCTATGGAAGTAGTAGAAGTTATGGTGAGGAGAAGGATAAATATTATGTGCCTACAAGAAATTAAGTGGGTTGGGCGTAAGGCAAAGGATCTAGAAAACTCAGGGTTTAAACTATGGTATTCGAGCACAAATAGAACGAGAAACGGTGTTGGCATCATCATGGACAAGACCTTGACACAAGATGTTGTAGATGTCAAGAGGGTAGGAGATAGAATCATGGCAATCAAGATTGTAATAGGACAAGAACTTATCAATGTGATTAGTGCGTACGCACCTCAAGTAGGGTTGGATACGAGTTCGAAGGAGAAATTTTGGGAAGACCTTGGAGACTTGGTGCAAGGAATTGCTCAGACGGAGAAGTTATTTATAGGAGGAGATTTAAATGGACACGTGGGCAGGGAGACAGGCAACTATGGAGGTTTTCATGGTGGCCATGGTTTTGGGGAGAGAAACGAGGATGGGGAAGCTATCTTGGATTTTGCAATGGCATATGATCTCTTCTTAGCCAACACCTTCTTTAAGAAGCGGGAAGAACATGTGATCACCTACAAGAGTGGGTCGTCAAAAACACAAATAGATTTTCTTCTAATGAGGAAAAGGGATCGTATAACTTGTAAGGATTGCAAAGTTATACCAGGAGAGAGCGTGGCTAATCAACATCGCTTGTTGGTGATGGATGTACATATCAAAAGAGTGAGAAAAAAGAACAAGACTTGGAAGTGCCCAAGGACTAGATGGTGGAATCTAAAAGAAGAAAAACAAGCCATTTTCAAAGAGAAAATAACCACCCAGTGTGTGTGGGATAGAGAGGGGGAAGCTAACCAAATGTGGGATTCCATGGCTAGTTGTATCCGAAAAGTAGCAAAAGAGGTATTAGGAGAGTCCAAGGGCTTTGCCCCACACCAAAAGGAATCTTGGTGGTGGAATGAGGAGGTATAAACAAAGGTGAAGGCTAAGAAGGAATGTTGTAAAGCCTTATACAAGGATAGGACCGATGAAAATGGTGAAAGGTATAGAAAAGCGAAGCAAGAGGCGAAGAAAGCTGTGAGAGAAGCTAAGTTAGCGGCTTATGACGATATGTATAAACGACTAGATACCAAAGAATGAGAGTTGGATATCTATAAACTAGCTAGAGCAAGGGAAAAGAAGACAAGGGACCTAAACCAAGTGAGGTGCATCAAGGATGAGGATGGAAAGGTTCTTGCTACAGAGAACGCGGTTAAAGACAGATGGAAAGGTTATTTTCATAATCTTTTCAATGAAGGACATGAAAGGAGTGCTTCTTTAGGGGAGTTGAGTAACTCAGAAGAGTGTAGAAACTACTCTTTTTATTGTCGAATCCGGAAGGAAGAAGTGGTTGTAGCTTTGAAGAAGATGAAGCATACAAAAGCAGTAGGCCCAGACGATATACCAATCGAAGTGTGGAAAGTTTTGGGAGAGACGGGTATAACATGGCTCACTGACCTTTTCAATAGGATTTTGAAAACGAAGAAGATGCCAAATGAGTGGCGAACGAGCACTTTGGTGCCTATCTACAAGAATAAGGGCGATGTACAAAATTGCATGAACTATAGGGGTATTAAGCTAATGAGTCATACAATGAAGCTCTGGGAGAGAGTCGTTGAGCATAGATTGAGGCAAGAGACACGGGTTTCGGACAACCAATTCGGGTTCATGCCAGGGCGCTCGACCATGGAGGCAATCTATCTCTTACGAAGATTGATGGAAAGATATAGAGATGGGAAAAAGGATTTACACATGGTCTTTATAGATTTGGAAAAAGCATATGATAGGGTCCCAAGAGACATTCTTTGGAGGATTTTAGAGAAGAAAGGAGTACGAGTAGCATATATCCAAGCTATACAGGATATGTATGAAGGAGCAAAGACTGCCATAAGAACTCATGAAGGACAAACCGAAAGCTTTCCCATAACTGTAGGATTACATCAAGGCTCATCCTCAAGTCCTTACCTTTTTGCGTTGGTAATGGATGAGTTAACAGGACATATTCAAGATGATTCCTTGGTGTATGCTTTTCGCAGACGATATAGTGTTGATAGATGAAACTCAAGAAGGGGTAAATGCAAAGCTTAACCTTTGGAGAGAAGTGTTGGAATCTAAAGGTCTTCGCCTAAGCCGATCAAAGACAGAATATATGGAGTGCAAGTTCAGTGCAAATGGAGGCCAAAACGAGTTAGGGGTGAGGATCGGAGATCAAGAAATACCAAAGAGCGACCGTTTTCGTTACCTAGGATCGTTCTTGCAAAAGAACGGAGAATTAGATGGAGATCTCAACCATAGAATACAAGCTGGATGGATGAAGTGGAAGAGTGCATCCGGCGTGTTGTGTGACCGCCGTATGCCACTGAAGCTCAAGGGAAAATTTTATAGGACGGCAATAAGGCCGGCGATGCTGTATGGCACAGAATGTTGGGCGGTGAAGCATCAACACGTACACAAAATGGGTGTAGCGGAGATGAGGATGCTTCGTTGGATGTGTGGGCACACGAGAAAGGATAAGATTAGGAATGAGGATATCTGGGGTAAAGTAGGAGTAGCCGAAATTGAAGGAAAGATGAGAGAAAATCGGTTACGGTGGTTTGGACATGTGCAAAGAAGGCCTACTGACGCTCCGATTAGAAGATGCGACTATGGGACAGAGGTTCAGGGTCGAAGGGGTAGAGGAAGACCCAGGAAAACTTTGAGAGAGACCCTAAGAAAAGACTTAGAGTACTTGGATCTAACGGAGGACATGACACAGGACAGAACACAATGGCGTTCTAAGATTCATATATAGCCGATCCCACTCAGTGACTTGGATTTTCCAAGTCTCCAACCGAGAAGTTGTCCTCGCTCGGGAAATTAAGGGAACACTACCTCAACCTACATGCTCCACTCACTCACAAAGCTCCAACATACAAGCTTCAACAAAAGAAAATTCAAAGAACTTAGCGAAGAAGGCTTTGGTGATTTAACATAATACGTTGAAATGAAGGGAAGCTTATTTATTGATATCCCCGATAAATTACAAAAATATGTACATATACTTGAGTCAAAATAAACAAACAAGAGGGAGCCTTCACAAAGGTTGCTTAGGAGAAGTCTCGGCAGTCGGTAGAGCCCCAGAAAGAGAAGGCACCGGAGGGGGATCATTCGGAGCCTCAGTACTGGACAGAACCCTAGAAGGAGGAGGCATCAGAGGGTTGATCATTTGGAGCTTCATTACGCGGTACAGCCCCAGAAGACGAAGGCAATAAATGCCTTTGGAACAAACCCACAAATCTCTGATGATCAAGTAAAACCTGACCATCAGATTCCTTCATCTGGTCAAGCTTCCTCTTCATGTTTGTAGCATAGTCATGTGCGAGCCGGTGCAACTGTTTATTCTCATGCTTGAGCCCTCTAATCTCCTGCTTGAGACTCATCACTTCAGCCGCCAATGATTCAACTTGGCGGGTTCGAGCAAATAGGCGTTGGGCCATATTAGACACAGAACCTGCACACTGAACACTAAGAGCCAGAGAATCCTTAACAGCCAACTCATCAGACCGTTTGGAAAGAAAGTAGTCTGTTATCTTTGGGAGTGAGAAGGTTCCTGGCCACTACCGCAGCGGTCATATCATTCTTCATCACGGAATCCCCAACGGTAAGAGGACCAGTAGGGGAGACGAAGGATGGGCGCCATATGTTGTCTGGAGAAGGCGGGGCTGCCTCTTCAACAAGGTTCAAGTCAAAACGACGGTCGGAGGGGCCAGACATTTTCAAAGATGTAGAAAAGAGAAGAGGTCGGACAAATCAAGATCTTAGAAGTGCAAGAATGGAGCTTCTACTGGTGGATATTCAAGTGTGCTTTGGAACTTAATGTCAGCCTCTATAAAAATCTGCACTCGACGAAGCTTCAGAAATCGAAGAGGCGTTTGCTTTCTCAAAAGCTGGGCTGCTCAGAGACCACGAGGGTCGATCTCAGAAATCGAAGAGGCGTTTGCTTTCTCAAAAGCTGGGCTGCTCAAAGACCACGAAGGCCGATCTCAGAAATCGAAGAGGTTTGCTTTCTCAAAAGCTGGGCTGCTCAGAGACCACGAGGGCCGATCTCAGAAATCGAAGAGGTTTGCTTTCTCAAAAGCTGGGCTGCTCAGAGACCACGAGGGCCGATCTCAGAAATCGAAGAGGTTTGCTTTCTCAAAAGCTGGGCTGCTCAGAGACCACGAGGGTCGATCTCAGAAATCGAAGAGGCACCTACTTTTCCAGCCTTGTCAGCACCTGTCACACGCACACTCAGCTTTGCGGAAATTATGGCCATTCTGTCGAAGATTTCTGGCGAAGTAGAAAGCACATGAATCGTACTGTTCAATCACCACTTCCCACACGCAACAGTAGCTCATGGGTACCACATATAACTTTGCCAAAGTCCTCTGACAAAGTTGAGACTACTTTTCCAGCCTTGTCAGCACCTGTCACACGCACACTCAGCTTTGCGGAAATTATGGGCATTCTGTCGAAGATTTCTGGCGAAGTAGAAAGCACATGAATCGTACTGTTCAATCACCC